CAAAGCTTAGAGTGCCCAAGATATGAAATTGGTCCATGAAGTTATTGACCGTTGATCTGAGCCATATTAGTAGGTCCAGTTTACCTAGTTACAGTCCCCACGATGATCATTAGCACTTGTTGGAGACGTCTGACAACTGTCAGAACTGGTTAAAACGGTTAAAATTCATTCACTTATTTTAATATAGATCTTTAATCCCAGTATTCCTTCATACATAACTTCTCACTGTCATTTATACTTAGTTGTTTCGATCGCTGCAGTATTGTTCTTGCTATTTCATCTCTTTGTGCTATGATATGACAGCTTCGGCCAACCAGAACTGTGCAGGGCTCTACAACGATTATTACTGGCTGATCTGGAAATCTAGTCCCAATGCAGTACACTACACTTTCGGAATCAGCATACATTATTCTAGCATATCCATTCACCCAACATTATCTACACAGTTTGGAGGATCAGGATGCTCCACACTTCATAAATCAGGAAACCTATGGCACAGATATGATATCAGTTTGTCAATCGTGAGGCCGATTTAGGACATAGAAGTCCATTCTATACTCCTCTAATGTTGTGAAAAATTGCACATGGGATTAAAGGACATTTGTAGGTCACTAGTATTTGACTTTAAATGTCACTGCTCGTATATTGTTCACCAACCGAGTATAGTTACGCCTAAGGTACTGGGTTAAAAGGTCAGACTAATCAGTGGGATTTTGTAGTTTCATCGAATGAGTTGGTTAGGATGTGCTTTATGTATGTCTAGCCACTGTCTATGCTGATTTGAAATGCTGGCAATTGAATAAAAATAAAGTGACGATAGATCAAGACATGACGAAAAACTTATGAACTCACCGACTGTCAGTCTGAGACCCACCTAGTAGTCGTACACTATGGTTATCAGTGTTTGGTGATATGTAATAAACTCGCTCACAGATGCTTTTATTCTATATTCCTTAACATTGTATTCCTCGATTTTATTGGTTCTAAACTGGTTGATGACATTCTTTCAAAAAACTCAAACAATAATTTCAAGGGGTTTTGTTACTATGCTAGTTATGTGGAGTAATTATTGTGAAACTAATCTTCTGTGTAAGTTATGCTATGCTTGATGATTAACCCTGCAGTTGGAAATAAAAGAACATCAAATTCGTGCTGGCTACACAGCTTTTAAATTTATTTCTATTCATTTTCTCCTAAGTATACTTCCTGAAGTGCTGAAAATGTTAGATTTGAAAATTTCTATTCATTCCTCTCTGTCAGTAAAATAAAATGTCGAAAATGTTTTTTTAATATCATATAACTTCAACAGCATAAACGGAGTCCAAAAAATAAATGTTCCAAATGATCAATCCTGTTTGTACGATTGCACCTAGCAAGCCAACTTAGAATTTTTACTATTTGTCGGCGCTTTAATTGGGTTGGTTAACACAGAGGGTCCACCTGCTGGGGTTGGTAAATCCTGTTTCAAACCCACTGGTTCACATGGTCTCCAAAATCCCGAACAGCAAACGACTTATGAGTCTATTTTTGGTTGCCATAGGACAGTATCTCTTCACTTTACTTCAACACCTTGTGTATTAGGCCTCTAGGTCGAAGAGCAACCCCCCAAGAAAACCATCTGCCTACGTTTTTACATCCGAAGAGTATCCCTGACTTTTCTCAAATATGGTAACCAAAATTATGAAGAAATTAATATGTTTGCTCCTCTTCCCCTATTACTAAAGATATAATCAATATCCAGTTAATTCAAGTATTTCGTTCTACATTGCTTCATTTTGTCATTCCATTTTCTTCCCACTGTTTTATCTTATGTTCAACTCGCTCAGTAGCTCATTCACTTCGAACTAGCTTTCCCATCTGAGTGATCTCAAGTCGGTGACTAGCTGAAGTTTCGATTGTTTCCATCAGATATAAAGTCTAAACCAGCTTTCCTAAAATCACATGGGGCATTTTCACTACGCGCCGTCAACATTAACCAGTGACCTAGATCTTTCGACAGATAGGTCTAGCTACATCCGTGGAAAGTCTTGACATTGATGTTAGCTATATATCCAATATCCTTACTTAAGACTTTAATGAAGTACTACAAATTTGTTCTTAATCTGTTGATTCGAAAACTTGTCTCGTGTCCATTCATCCAGTGACTCTATGACATTTTCATCCAGTTTGGCTGGCGTAGGTGACATCAATCTATAGGACTCTCACAAATAGTCATTTATTTACTGTTATATTAGGAAGACCCATTTAAGTGATAAATTGGATTGGGGAACGATGTCTCTTCAAAACCCTCCCATAAGCCCTGACAGATTAGTCAGTGTGGAATCGAGGACGAGTCCTACTAACAACCAAATTATCATGTTCAGAAATCGCATCCCAAAACCTTGTAGTGTTAGCCGAATATGTGGGTACCCATGTCGAGCGTTTATGTACAGAGAGTTGTTGGGGTGGCCAACTGGGATTAGTCAGTCAAAGGTCAGATAACGGTGACCGTCTTGTGCAACTATGTGCATATCACAACTTGTTCCTGTCTAGCACCAACTTCCAACACAGTTTTCGCAAATATGCTACCTGGCACCTTCTTCCTGCAACTGAAGACTACACTTAGACTGATTACATCAGAACCAGCTACCCTTGGAGTGGTTGTGTACAAAAATAACGCACATTATTATGTACCCATCTATACCTTGACTATCTTTTGGTTTGCTCCAAGCTTATTTAGGGTATTAGTGGCTATTAATTCACCGTCTTAAACTGGTCGGTAAAGTAAATCTCCTGAACCTTTCATCACAATCAAATAACCCACCGTCCTAGGTTCAAGGCTAGTTATCAACCCACCGAGGATTTTAGATGAATACTAGCTGCATTTGAAAAACGTCACTTGTGAATTTACTAAAAGTCCCACTTAAAAGGGCCGGGTTTCTACAAGCTGTTTACAACTCCTTGAGGTACGTCGGTCTATTCCATCCAACTTTGAGCCTAATGACAAATGTAGATTCTTACTTAAGCAAATTGTGCCAAGTTTACACAGTGACGTAGAAGCTTGATGGTTGGAGCGTCCTGACGAGTTTGAAGAAATTGCATCCTTTAACTGCTGTAAGCTACTCCAACTCATCCGAGTCATTGGTAGCAAGAAGACTGGAGATTAAACTGTCCTGGAAGGTGGGCAGAATTCTCCGAGGGGTATTTGAGTTGGGTTACGACCCACTCAACATGGCGAAGGTACACAAGGAATTTTAACGACAGGAGCCCAAGTCACTAGCCTAGACATACTACCGGACTGTTCAGTAATGGTGGCGAACTTCTGGTCAGGGAGCTGAATGGATTGTTTAGACAATTTTGAGTGTTTATAAATCTTAAACGAAGCGACCATGATCCCTACATGTGAAAAGAACCTATATCATCTATTCGACAACTAAGGATGGATAAGCCTACTTTTGAATGAGTCTAAACTATATACTTCCGTCATAACTCGCGAGGAACAGGGTGATTTTTGCTCAGGTCGTAGACGCACTGATTATATTTTTACCTTTTACCGAATGTTAGAGGACGACCACACCTATTTCAAGTCAACAGTCCTCATAATTCTTGATTTCAGGGTCCCCATTGGCTTAAAGTTATCAAGCTTGGCTCGAAACAAAAGCCAATGGTGGGCCTTCTGTAGTTTCATTTTAAGTTCTTGATAAAAGCCAAAGAAACTTCTCTAACTGAGAAGAGATTTTTATTTGTATTTTTCGGACTGACTTGTCCATCGTATTATAATTTGTTCTTGTTCATTTATCTATTCGACTATACTTGCTCGCCTTTCTCTATCTCCCAAAAACTCATTTTCTTATTTGTTTGGCGCATATTTATTTTGTGACCTACTTGTATAAGTATTTATGTGCTTCAAGTCAATATACAAACATTAGAGTTCTGATATTTCAACGTAATTTCCAACATGGTTGTAAGTTAATGATAATAAAGTTAAAGTCGGTGCAAAATTTATGACTGCCGTTCAAATCAGGTTCTATATATGACTTTTCTTCATTGTCAAGATTTATCATCACAGAGTATTGTAAGAAAATACAGTTTCTACCTGAAATTAAGATTTAAACATTAATAAAGCACGCCTTTTGTAAAAGTTTAATAACTTTGCTGATATATAAAATAATTTTATGTTATTTAAGCTACATGACTTTGTCTGAGAGGAATCACTGTCGCATTTATATAACTAATTTTCCACGATGAGCCTTAGAATTATTTTGAAGATACTACTAGACATTTATTTCAATAATTTTTAGTGTAAATGTTTACCCTAACACTACTTATACACTGGAACACTGAAGCCTTTTCTCTTAGTTACTTATCAAGGTTTGTTGAAAACGGTTTTTTGAAATATTCCAAATCCTTGAATTAAATGCAACTTTGTCGATCTGTTGATATTCCTGAAACTTATTTGAAAGGATTCCTAAACCTCTGACGCAATTTATCCGCTTACATTTCTAATAAATTCTTCACAATAAATGTTGTAATAGATATGTGTAAGAAAATCGAACAGTTCCAATAAGCTCAGAGAAAGGATGAGATTGGTGCTATGAACAGATTTACTTAGATTTTCATCACATAATAATTTTGTAAATGCTATTTGTTTGTTATCTGCAAAACTAACAACACTTATTGGAACTTTTTCTTGGAGTATCTTGGTAGGGTATAGTCTTGTGTGCTTACATAGTCCAAAGCAATGCTGACAAATTACGTGGAAAACATAATCACCGAAAGTCACTGCGTATAATTTAGAATATTGCCTGACTAAATTAATTCGAAGCCAACTGTACTCTGTCGTAATACAGTTTGTCTATCATAAGTGCTATTCACTTATCTCCAAAGTCCATTTTTTACGATAAAAATGTTTCAGAACAGAAATGCATCAATTGGTCAGCATTGCTACATTGTCAAAGTCAGTCAGCTGCAACGTAGGATCGGGCACATATATGCATCTCTCCAAGTTGCCACACCTACATTTCGAAGAACAAACCGAACTAATATCTATTTTCGGAAATTAATTATGCAGTTATCAAAGTACATTGGGTGAAAACAAAAATGGAAAACCTGATATTCAAGTAAATAATGAAAAAATAAACGGTCTAAAAACGTATCTGAAGAATAAAAATAAAATAAATTACATATGTCCTCATAGAAAGTAATTACACTTATATGGTCTTAACAGAAAATATTCTACTTGGTAACGCGCGAGCTGAAAAACTCTTAAAGTATTCTGAAGCATATTTTACTACCTCATCTGGTTTATGAAGTAATAATGATTTAATAAAGTCAGAAATCATATCATGTATCTCTGGATGATCACGCAGATATAAAAGATATTGAGCTTTGATTTCATCCTACAAAACATGAAAGAAAAGAATCTAAATCAATAATGACGGAAAGAAAGGGCAATTTTCGGACTCTTTGCATTAAGACGTAATGAAATTAAGAGAACAGATGTAAATGATGAAAATTTAAATTTCGCAATTCTGAATTCATGCTATTTGGCCATAAACAAGATCACTTATAATGATACCGAACCAGAAATCCTTACTTTGTGCTCAATTAACTCGAATGTCGTTATCTTTATAGGATATGAGACTTATTTACCTGTAAAACTCTACTAAACTTTATTGTCCTTTCTCTTTAGAACTAATCCAAAACTATACATCATACATTTAGACATTCGTTTCTCAATAACTGGATACTGATTTCAAGCTGACTCCATTTACTTTAGTCTTAACAAAAATTCATTAAATTTTATTTCTTCTTGATTAGCTGGCTTTACTAATTCTCCAATGTTTCGCTGAAAAGTTGAGTTTATTTAATTCGAATGTGCACATTTGAAGCATATTTATAGTGGGAAAATACTTCTAACTACAAACTTAACAGAGGTTTACGAAATTCAAAGTTAATGTTAGCAACAGATTTTACCTTTCGATCTAAAAAACGTGAATAGAGTTCCAGATCATCTTCCCAATTTAAGGAGACCTTTGCGACGACTGGTTTGGGCAAATACTTTTCTAAATTAAGGACATTTAAAGGAGATAACTGGAAAACAAACCTTTTTTGAACAGTTCAGGTATGGTGTTCGCTTTTATAGTGATCGGAGAGCCAATTTGTATTCTGAGTATCATATGACTGAAACAATTTTTGGAAAACTTTTCATTACTTCTATCTCAAAAAATGACACAATTATGGGAAGATTGCTATTTTCAATACGTAAAAACGATTGGTTAGGTATGATTACAAACACTAGATGAGTGTAATGTATGGCTACATACCGAATACAGTAAATGTTCACAGATATAAACATGAAACCTCGTTCTCTTAGACTAGAACTACTAATGTAGGTAGTTGTGATTTTTCAGAGTTGTTTAGTCGTGACCAAAACCTAACTAATCAACAGATTCCACCTACCTATTAAAAATACAGTAGTTTATATTGATATCACTAATATCTTCTGAACTAATGAGGCTTAGACATAAAGTATTTAGGTCTTCATTACCAATACACATTTTACCTGACTATATGTTAATGGATAGAAATTCCAACGTCTTAAAAACATTTTTGCTGGGCTTGATTTCAAAATGTGTACGAAGTAGCCGAAACAAATAGTTGATATTATGATACATACACTATGGTCACCTATAATCATAAACTATTATGCATAAATATACAAGGGCATATATTAACGCCTAATATTTTACTCAGTCAGTCAGTCACAACGTAGAACTTAGTACGTACGTACACCAGTTCGAGTTGCAATACCACATTAGCACAGAGATGCAGTTGTCGATTCAAATCCCATAGTAGTAGAAGTAGTAAGAGTACAAGCAGTAATCCAAAAGATTATGGTTTAAAGATGTTATTCAAGGAGTATGATCCAGTGAAATAAATTTGGAAAGAGAAAAAAGAAAGGGACACGAAGAATTCAGAAGGTTCGAATTCGGGAGAACACAAAGGGTGGATGCACCTTCTTCATTGGACTGTTCTCTGGGATTGTCTATTGAAGAAGGGTGTGCCTGAGAAGTTCATCAACATCTTAAAGGCCCTGTATACGAACACCTCAGGCATAGTGAGGGCATACAACCACCTTTCTCCCTTGTTCCATTCGAACAGTGGGGTTAGGCAGGGTTGCCCGATCTCACCATTCCTCTTCAACTTTGCCATCGATGACATCCTGGAAACAGCTCTGATGGATGTAAGTAATGGCGGTGTGGATATGTTGCCTGGAGAACGACTTCTCGACCTTGAGTATGCGGATGATATTGTCTTACTGTGCGATAATGCCCAAGCCATGCAATCCGCACTTAATCAGTTGGCAATCAGTGTCCGCAGGTACGGCATGTGCTTTGCACCCTCCAAGTGCAAAGTACTCCTACAAGACTGGCAAGATTCTCAACCTGCACTCACCCTGGATGGTGAGCAGATTGAAGTAGTCGAGAAGTTTGTGTGTCTAGGCAGCTATATAAGTGCTGGTGGGAGCGTGAGTGATGAGATTGATGCACGTATAATGAAAGCCAGAGCGGCTTATGCCAATCTGGGCCATCTTTGGCGCCTTCGTGATGTTAGTCTGGCTGTAAAAGGTCGGATCTACAACGCGTCAGTGAGAGCAGTTTAGCTCTATGCTTGTGAAACCTGGCCTCTCCGAGTTGAGGATGTTAGACGTCTCTCTGTGTTCGATCATCGTTGTCTCTGAAGGATTGCTGACATACAGTGGCAACACCATGTTAGTAATGCAGAGGTTCGGCATCGTGTGTTGGGGCGCCGAGACGATAATTCAATTGGTGTCACCATCTTGAAACACCGACTTCGGTGGTTTGGACATGTTTTACGAGTGTCGTCCCAGAGACTTCCACGTCGTGCATTATTTGCCGACTCTGGGACTGGTTGGAAAAAGCGGAGAGGAGGTCAGTGTATGACATGGTGTCGTGGCATGAAAGAAAGCTGCAAAGGGCTAGCTTCTGTTGGTCCTTCACGACTCCCTGGCTGGGGTCCGAGAGATGGTGCAACACAGTGGCTAGAGACGTTATCGGATATGGCTCAGAATAAAAGCCAGTGGCGATCCTGCTGCAACCTTCTTTTAATTTCTACATAAAGAGTGGTTCTAACTTTCTTAACTGAAAGTGTCTTCTGGTTGTACATTTTAGTCCGCATTATCTTTTCATCCTTTCTCTTCCTACTTTCATTATTTTGTGTGGCGCATATGTATCTGGTGCCTTTTTGTACCAATATATATGTGTTTAAATAAAATAATAATAATAAAACCTTCTCCATTGCAAACGATTTTGAGCCATATCATTCAAAGTCTCTGACCATCGGTTACTATCATTTCGCGAATCCCAACCAGGTAGTCTACACCTACCAACATGGCTCAGTCCACTTATCAGTCAATTCACGGATTTGTGCCACGTTTTGGTCTGGCCACCCCTACCTTTTTTACAACCTACTCTTACACCATGAAACATTGCACGTCGGGCATTCGGCGGTTGTGCACATGTAACACGTATCCCAGCCATCTCAATTGATGAAGTTTCACTACTTCATCAATCTATTTGCCATCCTTACGTAGTACCTGTTTCCTAGAAACTGCATTACTTACTCGGTGGTCCCAGGATATACGAGCAATGCTTCAAAGACATCTATGATCGAATGCTAGTAACCTGTGAATATCCTCTACTCTTACTGGCCATGTTTCACAGCCATAAAGTAGGATGAAAGGAACTGCTGCGCAATAAACCCGTTTTTTGGTTGCTAGACAGATATTTCTTCTATGCCATAAATGACGCAAGTTGGCAAAAGCTAGTCGAACCTTCTGTATCCGTGCTGAGATTTCGTCACACACCAGATCACAAGGACTGATGAGACTCCCAAGATAAGTGAAGCGGTCAACACGCTCAATTACTTCACTTCCTATGATTAGTTCGGGTGCCGATGCAACTCAACCCTGAAGCAACATTTTGCATTTTGAGAGGGGGAATCGCATCCCGAACATTCTTGCATTTTTGCTTATGGTGGTTAGAAGACTCTGCATTTTTTCAACGTCTTCACCAAACAGCACTATTTCATTGGCGTATTCTAACATAACAAACGAATCTCCCAGTAGAAGTTCAACTCCTGGAAATTAAGATGATGAAGGTTTTAAATCTAAAAGCATGTCGACGACAAAGTTAAACAAGAATGGAGAGAGTGGACAGTCCTGACGAGCACCGATTGAGGTAATCAATTCTGATGACAGTTCATCATAAACTCTCACTCGGCCAGTTGTGTTTGAGTAGAGATTCTTTATAAGGTTAATGAACTTCTTTGGTACTCCTTTCACTGACAAACACTGCCACAGAACCTCATAATCAACAGAGTCAAATGCCGCCTTCAGATCGAGAAATACTACTGCTGTGGGCGTCTGAATGTGTGTCTATGTTCTAGGACTTGACGTAGAGTGAACATCTGGTCTACGCAGCCATATTTAGGTCCGAAACCAGCTTGGTTTTCTCTAGTCTGCACTTGAAGAGCTATTGAAGCTAATACTTTAGAAACTATATTAGTCAAACTGATTCCTGTAATTGTCACAAGAGGACTTTTGTCCTTTCTTATGGACTGGCACAATAAGTGATTGAGACCAGCCTACCAGTTAAATATTAAACAGTGAACTAACTGATGGACGTTACTTCATTGGCTGGATGAACTACAGATTAATGACAATCATTTAAATTAGCGTGATGATTTATGAAGGGTCACTAAACGTATTTGTGATTACACTCACTGTGATGTATATGGTTACAGATAAATTGAGCGTTCAATATACATACGTGAATATAGTCATATATGGATCTTAGTAGTATGTAATTTGTAACCTTTTCCTGTATCTTCAAAGCGATGTTGGGTCTCCTACAAACCATTAAAATCTATAATACATAATTTTGGTGCAGTAGTTCATACTTTTTATACGTCTTAATGAATATAAGACATTAAACCGTTCGGTTACGTGATTTGTCAACTTATCAAAGAGACACTTGAAAACAACAGTAAAAAGCTTTAAAATAAGGTTAAAATACACTTACCCGTCCTCCATAAAGTAAGTCTGCCAGGACGATGGGAGAGCTTTTTGAGAATGCACAGTCCTTTGAATTCCTCTCACTGATATTTCACTATCTCCGACGAATACGTTTCTTTCTCCAAGATTAATCTGTTTATTGTTGGAAAGAATTTTTAAAAACTCACATAGGACACCGTGGCTAGATTATAATCTGTATCTAAACCAATAACCTCGAAGGGAACAGAGAAAGCAGATTTAACCAAAATTCGCTGAAAAACCAAATCCGAACCCTCAGCAATTAGCCCTAATATATTTGACTGGGCTAACTGTTTCCTAGTTGAAAAGATAATTTCTCCATTCATTGATTCTGTACAACTGATTTCATACACATTCTCAACAAGTTCGATGGAAGACTTTCTTTCCACAACATTTCCGTTCATCTAAAGCATATTTTTGAAAACTTTTTTCAACATACCACAATGGTTTCTAATTTTGTTTGGGAAAGTGTTTCAAGAGAGAACGTTATATTTGCTTCGAGTGAGGTAGTGCTATGAATTTCACCCAATATGGTTCTACTTGACGCTCTCACAAAAAGCCCTTTCATATATGGATCTTTATCCGTAACTCGACACTAATGTTGAAACTGAAGTTAATGGATATTTATTACCTCATATGACCCTACAACTTTGTTATTATTTGAATAACATAAAAGAATGTCATCAAACACAGCAGTTAACAATTTTTCGGCCTCTTTCGTAGTAAGATAATAGTCAATCTAATAGCTACCCAAATTTTGTAGAAACTGCTGAGCTGCAACATTCATACAAGCACTACCCTCCATTCTTCTTTATAAAGCTTCAAATAGGCCAAGGAAACATTGACGACCAGATCCATTGAATTGGTGTGAACAAACAAACATGATGTACGCACTACTGTTTCGTTCTTATCCGAATAAGAAGTAGTAAAATTACTAGTAGCGCTTCAAACCACCGTTTGCAGTGCATTCAAAGCACATTTTTTCTACCTGATCCTATCGGAAATCTGAAAATTAAAGATAACATTTTATAAAAGCTCCTAAGAATAAGCACCTATCAGCTTGAATTGCACTTCGTGAGAAACAATTCTGAATCAATCCATTCCGCCTTCCCACACAGTAACTCACAGTATTTATTATGATTTTCCTATGGGACAAATTATATCAAATATCCTCTCTAAGCATTCCAGCATTACTAAGAACTATCTTTCATTGTTCAAAGAGAGAAACAATAAAAAATTCCATTTTCTGTAACTATCTGAAAAATCTGGAGGTAAAATAATAGGCTGCCCGTTTATTATCATTAGACAGATAGTTTTAATATCTATTTTCATAAACCCAGGAAAATTTGAAGATCATAGGTCAAGTTGTCTTTCAAAGTTGTCAGTTGACATAAGGTTTATATTATTCAAAGATAGACGAAAATGTTCACAAACACATAATGCCCCAAAATGACCTAGTACGGTTGAGGGTCGGGAGAGCCCGCGCTCTTTCTCTCGAAATGCTTCCACACAGCCACGCGTATATAGCCTCTGCCAGGGAAGTCCTACTCACTGCCTCCTCTTGGTGGGGGTGTTGTTCAAGAAATTGAGAGGACGAAAAGCGAATGTACGGCGCTTTAACCGGGTTGGTGGACATGGAAAGTCCACCTAGGGGAGTTGGAAAACCCTAATTCCAAACCAATGGTGCACATGGGCTCCAGTATCCTGAGGGAACAAATGGCGTATGAATCAATCGTTGGTCACTGGCTGCCATGGGACTGCATCTCCTCACGATATTCCACTGCCTTGTGGATTAGACCTTTAGGTCAAAGACTGCGGGTGTGTCCCCCTAAGAAAACCACCTGTTTCGGTCTGGGCACCCGGGCAGTATCATAGCCCTCACACAATTAAATGTAATGACAATTTTGTGAGTGGCGCATATATATCCGGTGCCCCCTTATATCAATATTTATGTGTTCAAATAATAATAATAACAAAATGTGTAGTTAACTGGTAGTTAGGTGTTAATCTATTATTTAGCATAAATATTATGTAAATTATGACAAGACTTTCGCTCATCAATGTAAGAGAGTCTAGTATGGCGCAACTGCATGGAGTTTGAGAGCGTGACTAAGCGCAAATTAAAACTAATAAGGTTAGTTCGTGTTTTAAATACCCACTAAACCAATTATTTTCAAGATATTTCAAGTCACAGAGCACTACTTTCTAGCACATCATTGCAGTCGTTTGATGCTGCCAGATAAAAACATTTGAATTTGTGAGCTTAGCCCCGAGATTTTCCTTCGCCATCTTTGATAATTAAATGCCGTCTTGTTCCTCGACATATGAGAAAATTTCTCATAGAACATCATTTTTCAAAGTGAATCAGACATGGTATGTCTAGCCATGGCTGTTATAAAAATTTATTTTACAAGTTTACCTGGATGACGATAGCATGAAAAGTGATGACAGTTTGGTAGCAGTTTACATCTAGCCTATATGCAGAAGTAATGCGTAGTGAGGCTTCTAATCTAACTAGTTTGCTCATGAGAAGCGTTCCACGGAAGGTTGAAAGGCTCTCTGATGGGCAAGCTTGACTGAAATAATCAGCGTCAATGTTGTATTCTTACGGAACTATCTATTTCGCGGAATCTAATGTCCTTTTAGTTACTAGAAGATACCATAGACTGAGTGTGCACACTGAGAAAGGACTTATTAGAATGCCAAGCCTCGGAAAGTATTACCGAACTTTATAGACGCTTCAAGAAAGTGAGATTTCAATGTTGTAATAATTACATCGCTAAATATCATAAATTATTCCCAGATAACAATAGGTTACATGAATTTAATGAGTACGTATAAAAATGTGATAATATTAATAATGTATTTCTGATATGCTACCACCAATGTATCGCTGTTTTGCGGTTTCTAAACTGAGTTACTTCACAATAATATACAAATTAAACAGTTTTTAAGTGTATTATACGAAACGCAACAATTGTCTGACATCTGTATAAAGATGGGGTGAACGTGTGGAAAAAGTCAATAGAAAAATCACAGTATTCTATATTTCGATATTACATTCGACAATACCACTGATTCTTCACATAATTACTTCGAAAAGTAGAAAAAATATCTCACGTGCATTTTGTTTTTATTAGTTTTATAAGATAATGAGCAGGCTTCGTTTTTGGCAAATTTTTTTCTTTTGCTTGTGATTTGAACTACTTGGTAGGAAGTGAAACATATTCAATGTCACAAACACGATTTAAAGAGGTATAATAAATTAGTAACAATACCATTGGTTCGTGACATGCCACTTGACCATGAAGAGCCTTAATTAAACGAAGATGTTCTGCCCGACAGACATGAGTGGATGGAAGTTATCTTCCCGCCATCATGTTTGCTGGTCAGTAACGCCACACTCCCTTCTTTTGTAATGTTAGTCTCTCTTACGTTTGTGATGTGTATGAATATCGCTTAATTCTAGGCTCCTTGTTGGAAAACATTGTCTCTACTAGATCCATGTTACAAGCATATCATATGGTGAAAGCTTCTGTATTGTGAGTTAGATATCCATTTAGCGTATCACACTGCTATGAAGATAAATAACGGTAAAAGTTATAAAACACAGGTCAGACTACACGTGGTTTAGAGATGGCAAGGATAGCTAGTCAATCGAAGAATATGTGAGATAAGAATTGTAAAAGTTTCAGAGTAACAGGACATTGAGCGACTCACGAGAACCTAGAACATTATGAGCTTCTTATGATCGATCATAGTTGATCAGCATCTATGAGATTAGTGAGTTGTCTGTCAACATATAATGGAAAAAATGACATGGCACTTCGTAAGAAGAATAAATATTTACCTATTAGAGAGATTCGGAATCTGAAATTGAGGGTTAGGAGCAGAAGGCCTTGATTAATAATCAATGAATAGTGGGAGAGGATAAAGCATGTGTTTTGTAATTTTTTTATATTCATTTTATTAACAGTGGGGTTCTTTGCATTCTTCTTTCATCTAGATATTACGTAGTCTATTATAAAGTGCCTCATTTGTGGGAGGAAGTTCATGGAACAGTTGACGGGGCTCTTTAGTCTCAAGTAAGTGTCATTAGTCTTTCGAATTTGGTGATAGTGTCACAGGTACGGACAGCAATTAATAACCTATTTCACCATAAACTATACTGAACTGTAAACAATTTACAACGTATCGGCTTTCGAAGTTTTACTGCAAGTAGTGTATATGCGTCGCTTCTGATTCTGTAGACAGGGCAATGGATCATGGTCATTCAGGAGGTTAGGAATGGAAGTATATTTATTGCTTTGTAAAGAAATATCAGACTGTTCGTTAGCCTACGGTGCCACAAAGGTTCTAAAGAGAGCTGCTTACATCTACCTGTGTAATCGAGAGTGGAGTCACTTTCTAGCAGTTGACGTGTTAAGAGTCTTTGAACATCTTCGACTCTTATTTTGTCTATTGTATTCATACTAGAGAAGACAAAAGTGCAGTATTCAAGGGAAGGTCATACAAATATTTTGTAAACGGTAAGCATAGCCTCTGTGGTGAAGAAAATTTTCATTATGAAACCAATTAGCCATCCAGATTTAGAAATGAAAGAGGAAGCATGTTCTTCAAAGTTTAGGCTTCCTGAGTAATTAATTCCTAGATCATGCATCAATTGGAGCGTTTGAACTCTGTTTTAATTTAAGTAAATTTACGAACCATAGGGATGCTTTTCCAAAATGCATGATCTCACACTTCTCGAGGGTAAATGGTAATTTCCATTTTTCGCTCCAGATAGTTAGGTTGTTGAGGTCACTTTGAATCAAGGACACTTTCACTTAAAGCCTTGGGCTTATAGCTGTATACTGTTTTGAGATCAGCAGCATATAAGTATGGCCTCCCAAATTTTATGATGTTACATATACTGTTTATATACATGAGAAGCAAGAGTGGACGTAATATGCTTCCCTTGATGACGCCACTAGTTATTGGTCTAGTTGATGAGAGACAGTCGCTGTACTTTACCATTTGTTTACGTTCCTTTAGGAATGAAACAAACCATGAGTACAGTGGGTTGTTGATTCCGAAGGACTTAAGTTGATGAGAAGCCTTTTGTGTGAGACCTTATCAAAAGCTTTCTTAACGTCTAGGAACAGGACTGATACAAGGATTCCATTGTCTCGTTTCAAAGTTTTATCATTTATGCAGTCTACTAGGCATGTATCACATGATCTAGACCTGGAGAAAACATTCTAGGAGGTCTGAATGAAATTATTAGCAAGTAGATGTTGTATTACCCTCGCCTTAACTACGTTTTCCATCTCTCTTAACACCACTGAGGCTATGTTTATGCGCCGGTAAATTCCAACATTTCCTTCAGTTCCTGTTTTAATTTTCGGCTGATGTATAGTTTTCCAGAAAGTGTGGTAACACGCTGTAGAGAGGGACATCGCAAATAGTTTGAGAAGCAAAAAACACACATCATTACATTACTTTTGAGCACGCCATCCGGAATACCATGTGGCCCATCTGTGTAGGAGTGTTTCAGTGTGTTAATCGCTTTGGCAACATTCTGTATAGTGAAGTCAACATTACTAATTTCACAGGAAGGTTTAGGGAGTGGTTCTGATTCATTTGGTGATTTTTCTTTTGTTAATGCATCATTCTTACGTTGCCATCGGACCTCAGTAAGTGACTGGCTAGCAGGACGTCCTCTAAGTCGGAGGCATTCTTAAGTGTAACACGAAGCAGCCTCGGGTGGTTTAGATGGTTAGAGTCCTTCCCCCGAGTGAGCCGTGTGACGGTCAAAGGCTCTATTCTAGGGAGTTCAAGCCTCTTGATTAATTCTCCCCAGAGCATCCTATCGTTTTTGTCCTGCAAACTGAGAGGAAGGTCGGGGTTGTCAATAAGGTTCATGATTATGACAGAGTCGTCACGAACCGCAATTGATTTCCCAGGTTTTCCAGGGCGTCTAGGTTTGGTATCTTGTTGTTTGGATGTCGAGGCGCGTTTTCGATTCCTGGGCTCAGTGATGACCGGGCGGACAGTCTTGGGTGTAGACTGTGCGGCCGAAGCATCAATTGATTTCCGCACGATACTTGGGTCGTTCAGTTTCGGAGGGGACGCTTGGTCTTTATTACTCCTGTTAACGTGAGTCCATCCACCTACAGGATTTTTGGGAACCACTGTCTCATTCAAGGACCGTTCCCCGGGGGACCCAAGTTTACTGAGGGAGTCGATGACAGTCGATGTTAAGATGGTGCTGAGTTTCAGCACATCATCACTCTTGCTGTTAACAGCACCGTCGATAACCGACCTGTCAGTATCCTTTTTCTTATTTGCCCTATGCGTTCCAGCTTTGTTACCCGTCATGATGATATCATTTACCGAATTCTTAGACAACTTATCTCTCAGACCTGTCAGTAAAGTAATGATGGTACCCAACATAACTACCGTATCGGTGTTGCAGGTAACACATACCCACCTACGATCAGACTTGCTGAGACTGCTATAGGCTGCTGCTGTTAGATCTGTACCAATCTGGAACCAACCTTTACAGTTGTCACATTGTATGCCAGATGTAACGGCAAAAACGGCAACCAGGTCTCTTGCATGAATTTTTCATGGCTAGTGATTTAGACTGTCTTAAAAATATAAGCAGTAAATTTAGGACCGTTAAAAAAACACACAGTAAACAAAAACTATCAAAAATGTATAAAAACAGTTAACGATGAGCTAAAGCTAGCCTTTACGTGAAAACTATAAAAAAAACCGATAGTGAGCTGAGGCAAAACCACAGTTAACTATTAATTTGAGTGAAACACAAACAAAAGAAGTAATCTACCGAACGTATAGCTCAGAATAGATTCTTTGGATTGGAAATGATACTTTTGTTGCGCAAGAACACAGCAAAAGTTTGAGAAGTGTAAATCACGTTAGGACTAAACTTCCCGTTCGAATAGCAAATACTTCCTGAAGTGTGTCACCACTGTTTCCCATTAGTATCTATTGAAAAAATAACTCCGTAGAAGAAACATCATGAATGAATAGATATTTGATTTAGGTAATGGGGATAGAAGATTACTATGGCAAATAAATCCTCATGGACAATCTCATAAATGTCTTGTACATTTGAATTGTTGGCGCTGAAATCCCGTTTTGCGTTGTAGTAAATGGTTGGACGGTATTATTTTGTTATTTGTGGGCCTCATGATGAGGCATTATTTGATTTAGATTATAATTCACCAGGAAAATCAACGGGAGAAAAGGTAGGCTAGTTGTTTTCAATTAACCGCTAAGTATAGGCAGATGACTGTCTTCATCTAAACCAATTTATTGCACATGCTGCATTAGATATGGTTGATGATCACCTGTGGTCCAAAGCGGATACATATTTAAAGGTCGTAGACAAGTTCAATGATTGGCTGGTTTCTGCCTTCATAACCCCTGGAAGTATCCTTTATAAATATGGTTTTTAAACGTCCGACAATTATAGTACCGAGTGGCTGCTAAAATACCAGCTTATTAAGTCACTTATCACACCAAAGAAATTGTGAGGATTAGAGTTCTCACTCAAATATTTATTTAATCATTATCTGTGAGTTAAGAGGTAATTTGTCATTGTGAATTACTCATATATGAGTAATTTCTCATATTGTTCGGTTTTATCAAAGGACATGAAAAAATATCTTCAGTTTCTAAAAAGTCATGGAAAATGTTAGGTAAATCCCAAGGTTCACCATAAAGAGCTCCCTTCCGGGTTAAGATATCTTCTGAAATCCCTGGTTAATGTTACCAATATTCAGCCTTCGAATTCTCCCCATATCAGTCAACCGTCTGCGACTCCAGCGTATAAACTCGCTAACTGACTATGTAGAAAATCATTAGTACTAGTGACTAGTCTCTTGTAGAACACTTAGTCGACAGTTTATTTGAGATCTGGGTTTCAATAGACCAGGGAATTAGTTCTCTTGAGTGTATAAAAGTGTCTTAGCAAGGATTTTGGTCACACGTTCTCTTGTTTCATTTGTTTATCCCATCTGGTTTTAATAAATCAGCTCAGGGGACCTGAATACGGGTCCCTCGTTTTAGGCTTTAGGTCACACTCCGTGTGTGTGAAAGCTAGTGTTAGTATATGATTGTTTAAATCAAAACGGTGTTTAAATGTGTGCACCAGCTTTTAATAACTGAATCCTTTGACCGCTCAGCCATTATTCATCAAATAAGGATATGGTGTACGCAGTCGTACCTTAATTATCAAAAATCAGTTTCACTCAGTTACTTGAACTAATTGCCTTATAAATCACTGGGATGTCATTATCAAGTGACCTAATCTTACTCCATTAAGTAGGCTGTTCTCAGAACCTCTAAACCTGCACTAGATTTAATCGAAAATAGCAGAAGTTAAGCAGTTAATGACAATCAGTCAAACAGCTGTCGTAGTAATTATGTCTCACTGAAATAAATATATAACATGGTCATTTTTGATCCAAAGACTACTGTCAAACCATCAATTCTTTAAAATTAACGTTGTATATCCCGAACGTTGCTGCTATCTTGACGTGGTGGTCGGGCTTGCCTATCTTGATGAAGCAATCGAGCTATGCTGGCTGAAACAATCGTTCCTCGAGGTCCTACCATGCCAGACAGATCGGTTGAAGAGCGGTAAGACTAAAAGCAGCAATCCCAGGGTCCGAAGGCGAAGTCGTACTGCCGACTGTACAGAGGTGTGACGGCAGTAAGGTGTTTCCTTCAGACAGCCAGCATGACAGCGATGCTGCCTTCCCACAAGGAGGGGTGGGGTTAGAAAAGGTCGACCATAAAAATGCACACCCCGCCTTATCCCACGGATTTTCGTCTCCGGCGGTAAGGTCCTTTGAAGAACGGAGCTAACACGTCAAAAGTCCCCCACAAAAAGGCCGTGCGTGACCGACCTCATGCAGTTGTCCCTTGGGCACTGGGGTCACGCTCCCAGGTCGTTAAGACCAACACTAATCCAACTTCTTTTTCAGGTCCCTCAAGAAATACCCTTCCACGGTGTGGGCAGCCGGGAAGTGATACTAGCCCTTATACCCGTAACTACACACGAGACCAAGTTGGTCACTTTCAAATCCTTCCTACACCTCCTAATAACTCTGTTATCTCCACGACTAACCCTTCCCACGTCCTTTTATCTCCTCGCACCGCTAGGGCAAACGATTCAAGTACACGGAACGTTATTCCTGGTCTCCTGAAACCACGCTCTAAACTACATATAGGAACTTTTAGTGTCCGAACATTGTGCCAAACAAGACAACAGCCTTCCCTAGCTAGGACTCTAGATAATTACACCATCGATGTGTGCTGCGTCTCCGAAACACACATATAGGATCCGAGTAACGTCATTCTTTTGACCTCACCTAATCAAAATAAAGTTTCATCTCGATACACGCTTCGTCTATCTGGGAGCCATGATGCTGTTTCCCGTGGCCTCGCTGGAGTAGGTATAGCATTAAGTCGTAGGGCAGAACTAGCTCTTTTAGACTGGATCCCAGTAGACAGTCGTCTATGCGCTGTCCGACTAAACGGATCAGTAGGGACTCGGAAAGATATGGAAACCCGTCGTTGCCTCTTAGTCGTCTCTGCCTACTCTCCCACTGACTGCGGCTCAGACGATATAAAAGATGAGTTCTACAGGAAACTTTCTGACCTTCTCCGAGAAGCTAGGCGTTCTGATGTAGTAATAGTAGCAGGTGACTTTAATGCTTAAGTAGGTAAACTAAGTGAAAGGGAAAGACACCTGGGTGGATCTTATGGTGTCGTGGCTAAAAGAACAGATAATGGCGACCGTCTGTTGCAGCTGTGCTCAGATAACCGCCTATTTCTTGCAAATACTAACTTTAAGCATAAGGAAAAACATCTTTTGACATGGCGACCCCCGAATTCGTCCCAATGTTGGACCCAATTAGATCACATCGCTATCAGCCACCGATGGAGGGGCTCGATAGAAGACTGTCGATCATTCTGGTGCACATGTTTAGACTCAGATCATGCTCTAGTGCGAGCACGTATCAGTCTGCTTCTTACTGGACGTAGGAAAGACACTGCAGGGTAGCCTCTAAAGGTTCTACTTAATGATAAGCAAGCTAGGAATATATTTCAGGAACAACTGGAAAAACAGTTAGACAGACATGTAAGTTGTGCCAATCCTGAGGCAGCGTAAAATGACATCCGAAAAGCTGTGGAAACAGCAGTGATATCTGCTAGTAAAGTAAACCATAAGGTTAGGGAGAAACAATGGATCTCGGCAGCATCTACCGCACTGATAGATGCTCGTAAACTCATCCCACCTGGCTCTGAACATAACGAAGAGCGGAGTCAGATTAAGGGCAGGCTAATAAGAATTCTACGCAATGATCGTGAACAGTGGTGGGTAGCGAAAGCAAGAGAGATGGAAAAGGCAGTGGCAATAGGTAACAGCAGACAGCCATTCAGACTTGTTAGAGAAACCGGTATTAGGAACCCGAATATCAGTGAAACCATCTCAGATAAAGATGGACATATCATTCATTCTCAATCCAGGAGATTGGATCGATGGGCAGAACACTTTAGGGATCAGTTCAACCGGCCTTCAGCCACACTTCAATTACCCACGATCCCCAGTCGTCCTGAATGGAAAATTGATGTAAGTCCTCCAACTCTCTACGAGGTTGAAAAAGCTATAAGAAATCTAAAGCAAGGGAGAGCCGCAGGCCCTGACAGGTTTACCCCTGAGATTTTTAAGGATGGTGGTCCAGTACTAGCAGTGAGATTGACTGAGGTCTTAGGTAGAATCTGGGAACTGGACGTAATCCCATCTGACTGGTCCCAATCACTGATTGTGCCAGTCTATAAGAAAGGACAAAAGTCCTGTGACAATCACAGGAATCAGTTTGACTAATATAGTATCTAAAATATTAGCTTCAATAATACTTGGACGCCTAACCAAAGCTCGCGAAGAGCAGACTAGAGAAAACCAGGCTGGTTTTCGACCCGGACGTGGTTGCATAGACCAGATATTCACTCTACGTCAGGTCCTAGAACATAGACATACATTCAGACGTCCCACAATAGTAGTATTTCTTGACCTTAAGGCGGCATTTGACTCTGTTGACCGTGAGGTTCTATGGCAGTGTTTGCCAGTGAAAGGAGTACCAAAGAAGTACATTAACCTCATAAAGACTCTCTACTCGAACACAACTGGTCGAGTTAGAGCCTATGGCGAAATGTCATCAGAATTGGTTACCTCAAGTGGTGTTCGTCAGGGCTGTCCACTCTCCCTATTCCTGTTTAACTTTGTCGTCGACATGCTTTTGGAGATAACACTTTCATCATCTCAATCTCCAGGAGTTGAACTTTTACCAGGAGGCTCACTTATTGACTTAGAATACGCCTGACGACATAGTTTTATTTGGTGGAGACGCTGACAGAATGCAGAGTCTTCTGACCACCATAAGCAACAATGCAGGCATGTTCGGGATGCGATTCTCTCCCTCGAAGTGCAAAATGTTACTTCAGGACTGAGTTGCATCGACACCTGAACTAATGATAGGGAGTGAAGTAGTTGAGCGTGTAGACCACTCCACTTATCTTGGTATTCTCATCAGCCCTTGTGGTCTGGTGTATGACGAAATCTCAGCACGGATACAGAAAGCTCGTCTAGCTTTCGCCAACTTGCGTCATTTATGGCGTAGGCGAGATATCCTTTTAGCAACAAAAGGACGGGTTTACTGTGCAGCCGTCCGTTCCGTCCTACTTTATGGCAGTGAAACATGGCCAATAAGAGTAGAGGATATTCGTAGGCTACTAGTTTTCGATCATAGATGTCTTCGAAGGATTGCTCGTATATCCTGGGACCACCGAGTAAGTAATGCAGATGTTAGGAAACGAGTACTAGGTAAGGATGGCAAATCGATTGATGAAGTAGTGAATCTTCATCAGTTGAGATGGCTGGGACATGTATTACGTATGCCCAACCACCGACTGCCCCGACGTGCAATGCTTTATAGTGTAGGAGTAGGTTGGAAGAAAGCTAGGGGCGGCCAGACCAAAACATGGCATAAATCCATGAAGTCACTGACAAGTGGACTGAGCCATGTTGGTAGGTGTAGACTACCTGGTTGGGATTCGCGAAATGATAGCAACCGATGGTTAGAGACCTTGAATGACATGGCTCAAAATCGTTTGCAATGGCGAAGGTGCATCCACTCTTTGTGTTCTACCAAATTCTAATCTTCTGAATTCTTCATGTCCGTATCCTTTTTCTCTTTCCAAATTTATTTCACTGGATTATACTCCTTGAATAACATCTTCAAACCCTTATCTTTCACATAATACTTATACTCTTACTACTTCTACCAATATGGGATTTGATTCGACAACTTCATCTCTGTGCTAATGTGGTATGGCAACTCGAACTGATGTACGTACGTACGAAGTTCTACGTTGTAACTGACTGACTATAGCTTCAGAGCCACATATTGTCGCATTATTTAAACGTGGCGTATTGTCTCATCTATGTATTTTACAAGTTTAATTTGAACATCGTAAACCTCAAGGAACGAAGCAGCTTTTATACCAAACAATTTTTTGTCATTTCCATAATGGTAGAAGACGTTTGATTTCACAAAGAAATTGTAAGCTTCGTATGCTGAATTGCCGTTAGTTTTTAATAAAAATTGATTATCATAGTTATTTATCATTTACCGTAACTCAAATTAATGTTCAGGACTTCGCTTTATTTTACTTCATGATGAGTCGAATGAGAATCGCATAAAGTACTTTTTTCAAGATACTTATGAAGCCTACATCAAAGTGAGAATATAATTTTTCAAACTTTCAATTTCCGTTTAGTTGGCACTAAATCCATTCTTTAAACGTGACAAGCCAATAACCTCATCCAGCTTCTCAAAACGAGTCCAACGGATTGCAAATAAACATTTTGGTTGATATGATTGATAATTTTTCTGCTCATTCTAAATAAATTTTCGTGAGTTCTAAAGTTTCTTGGTTAACTACTTATTTTGTGCTGTGTCGAAGTTTTTAGATAATGTATGATGTGGCAGTACAACTTATGCGACTAATACTCTATTATTAGTTTTAGTTGACTTAAGTTCGTGCTGAATCATTTTTATCGTGTTAATATATCTGTTTAGTTTTCACGAAGAGTCTGTTAGTATAATCGTCAACCTTTGGCTTAATAATTTCGAATAGATTGAGTATTAGGTAGATTGTGGTAACAGAAATATTGATATATTTGTAAAATCTCAGTAAATAGAATATTAAATTTCTGATGTATCGTGACTTAGTGTAGGCCATTTCTTCACAGAATGAATAAATAAATAAACGAATGAAATTGGCACAAGCTCAAATTGTGTGGCGCATATATATTTGCTGCCCCCTCGTACCAATATTTATGTATTCAAATAAATAAAACAAATGGAGCAAAGCAGAATACTCCTTTTAAAATCAAAACAGATCTGATCAAGTTAATGTCATGTAATTTCGGTCTGGGTGATTTTGTTGAAGCTACCCGTGTTTACGCTAGTGGGTGTGAAAAATGTGGTGTTTGCAATTTAGAAGAGAAAGATATGTAAGTAAGTGATGATCAATTTTCAGTAAATATCGTCATTTAATTTTATTTGTGATCATCATCAACGGATTGTTATCTGCAAATTAGTTGCAACTTCTGTTGCAAGTATCGAACCAAGCTAGCTACCATCCCACTGAAAAGTATAAATGAGGCTTGACTGCAACTGCATGATGCCATGAAAATGGCGAGCGAAGCCGCTTGCGGCTTCGCGAAACGTCCCTCTTATAAGCACTGGGTTTCTTCAGGGTCCTTACAACTCATCGAAGCACGTCGGCCTACTCCGGGTGACCGTGAGTTTGACCACAAACGAAGGCTGTTATGTAATGAAATTGGGCAAAGCTTGCGTAAGGACCGAGAAGCCTGGTGGTCGGAGGACGCCAATGAGTCGGAAGCAGCAGTTGCATTTGGTAACTGATGGAGGTTCTTCCAACTCATCCGAGTCACTAGCAGCAACAAGTCTGGTGTGAGTGGAACAATCTGTGGAGATGACGAGATGCCAACCACTAACATCCATCGACTTCTTGGAAGTTGGGCAGAATTTTTTGAGGAGCACTTCAATTGGTCTGCTGCCCCGGCAACATCAATCAGACTGTCCTGCCCTCTATGGCCGGTGACGACTGATCCACCGAATGAGACGGAAGTCCGCAAGGAACTTCAACTCTTAAAGCTCTACAAATCACTGGGCCCAGATGGCTTACCTCCGGCTATTTTGAAGTTATTGGTGACGTTCTGTTTTAGGAACCCTATATACAAACACCTCAAACAAAGCGAGGGCATACAACCACCTCTCTCCATTGTCCTTTTCAAGCACTCTTGTTAGACAGGGTTGCCTAATCTCACTATTTCTCTTCAACTTTGCCATCAATGACGTTCTGGAAATAGCTCTGATGGATGCACGCAATGGTGGTGAGGATCTGTTACCTGGAGAAGGACCCCTCGACCTTGAGTATGCACATGATATTGTCTAACCGTGCGATGACACCCAAACCATGCAATCTGCACTCAATCAGTGTCCGTAAGTATGCTACGTACTTTGCATCTTCCAAGTGCAAAGTACTTTATTAAGACTGACAAGACCCTGATCCTGCACTCACCCTGGGCAGTGAGCAGCTAGAAGTAGTCAAGAAGTTCGTGTATCTGGGTAGCTGCATAAGTGCTGGTGGTGACGTGAGTGATGAGAACAATTCGTGTATAGTGAAAGCCAGAGCGGCTTACGCCAATCTGAGTCATCTTTGGCGCCTTCGTGATGTTAGTTTGGCTGTAAAAGGTCGCATCTACAACGCGTCGGTGAAAGCAGTTTTGTTCCATGCTTGTGAAACCTGGCCTCTCCGAGTTGAGAATGTTAGAAGACTCTCTGTATATGATCATCGTTGTCTCCGAAGGATTGCTGACACCCAGTGGCAACACCATATTAGCAATGCAGAGGTTCCGCATCATCTGTTCAGGCACAGAGACGATAATCCAATTAGTGTCACCATCTTGAAACATCGACTTCGGTGGATTGGATATGTCCTACGAATGTTGTTCCAGAGAATTCCATGTCATGCATTATTTGCCGACACTGGGACTGGTTGAGAGAAGCCGAAAGATGGTCAGTGTATGGCATGGTGTCGTGGTATGAACTTTGTACAGAACTGTGAGTTGTTGGTCCTTCAGGACTCCCTGGTTGGGGTCCTAGAGATGGTGCAACACAGTGGCTAGAGGCGTTATCAGATAAGGCTCAGAATAGAAGCCAGTGGCAATCTTGCCGTAACCTTCTCTTACTTTCTTCATAAAAAGTGGTTGTAACTTCCTTAACCGAAAGAATTCTGGTTGTACCTTTCCGTTTCTCCCATTACTATTCTTATTATTACACTAACATACACTAATCTTTGGTTGTTATTGTTCTTCTTTTGTTTTCTTGTACGCGCCTTACCTTCTTTTTCTCTTCCCATTCTCATTGTTTTGTGTGGCCCATATATATCTGGTGCCCCCTTGTACCAATATTTAGGTGTTCAAATTAATAAACCACATCAATGAGCGACCCATAACCTCAAATTTTTCTTAGTCAAAGTTGTAAGACAGGAATGATACGAATTTATGTAGCGCTTACTTGTACCTATACGTTTTTTACAATATCATCGCAGAAGACACTCTTTTGTGAAAGTATCTAAGAATCATAATTTTCTTTAATGAGATCATCTCTTTGTGGCGCTCTAATTAGTAGTCTGTTTGTATGTGGTTGGACTTATTACGACAATAATCAGCGTCCAGTTATTTGAATCTTCGATTCTAAATTTTGCTATTGGTACAAACTATAGACACACACTAAGTAGTCCGTTGAAAAAATGTGTGTCTGTTCAATGATCGTAATAACTTCAGAACAGCAAGGAAAGAATATGAGGAAGAAAAAGGTAATATAAACACTGATTTCTAGCTGAAATAGAAATTTGTAAGAAAAAAGTAAATTTGGCACATAAAACGAGTAAAATCACAGTTTCGATGGTGAAAATCTGCTTCACTGGAACTGATTTCAAACCATTACAGCGAGTGTCTAAGACCACTCATTATTTTTGTCCCATACATTTTAAGTAGAAGACCTGAGTCTCATTTATCTTAGGCGGTTATAGCACTACGGATGTGTTTTAGTGAAGGCAAATATGATTGGTCACTGAGTGTGGACAAACAGGCACTCAGCTTATTAAATGGTAAGTTTGTGATTTCCTTCCTTTTTATCGATTTCTACCTCGAGCTCACCAATAGTGGCTGCTTGTAATTGTGTAGAATAAAGCATGGCCTAGCCTTACTCAGGTTCCCAATTTTTGATTGTGAATTGGGTATTTGGTAGGACGTAATCTAGTTAATGTATAGCTTATCATTCGAGTATCCAATCTAACGATGATATAAACATGGTCACCAATATTATCGTAGTAATATCTTTGGTGATGGAGAAAAGTATTTTAATTCTACTGTCATATCAAATTGACGGTGGGTTTTTTAAAATGGACCTACTAACTACATTATATTTTGTCATTGTATATATTTTATCTGTCGAAAATGGATCCTTTGGAAGCAATACTAGATGGATTAGTGCAAACTCAAATGAAAATCATTAGTATCCCGGACAAAACTGTCCTCAATAATGTTTACAGTAGGCAATTTTCAAATGTTCCTATATCTAATTCCTATAAGTCTAATGATTTAACTATGTTCATTGAAATCCTAAGTCGTTGTGAGAATTATGTTTCAGAGGAATCAAATCCTGATTTGATTTTTGATGTTTTACTAGATTTTAGGTTCTAATGGTTCATACATGCCTAATGAGATCCTTTATAGACATAAAGGGAATGTGTCAAGTGAATCAAATTTTAATCAAAACTCATGCTATTTTATTGAATATATTTTGTTGTAACGACTCATTTTCTAGTAAAATCGTAATTAAATGTGATGGAAAAGTTCTTAATGAGTTTAAATCTAATTACTGTTCTAATGATATATTCCCATCGAAATTCATGATCAATGTGACAATTATGTCCTAAATGGATCGAGTCCTCATCATATACCTGATGTTATTATATACGATAATTGGTATTCTCACAAGCCATGTGTGTCGAGTAAAGTCCTAAATCAATGCTATGATAAATCACAAGGCATTTAAAGTGTTTCCTAAGCATTCATAGAACTAGTATGCCCAGATGTAGTCTTTAGAAAGGCGAAAAATAAGCCTAGTTCACAATTACCTTAATGAGTATGAAGCAAATACACATGTCCCATTTAAATGTCTTGCAGATTAATCAAACCTTGATGAGTCACATAGTGCTATTTACAGATATGAATGCCAAGTGCTTATGCATGTTATAACTGGAATGATTATCTCGCGTTTTCTCATACGAAAGGAGTGAAGATATACATTATCGTATTATTTATGCAAGTCAGAGTCACATTATGGAATGCCTCAATGTCAACGTTTACTCCTAAAACCTCACATACAATCGAATTATGAGATATGAGAAAACAGTTTAATATTATCTTTCAGTTATTTATTTGCTGATAGTAAATATGCATATTTCATCTAATGATCGAACTTGTACTTCAATTTTATAAAACTTTAACGAAATACGTCTGATGTTAGTCTGGTTAAAACTTTATTTCTATATCAAGTTAATGAAGCAGTAATACTATAGCACCTATCATACAGTTAATTTTGTCAAGTCCTTCAACTAACTTATTTAACAGTGTTATTCGAACAGTAACAATTTGTCTATGTCTTTGTATTATTGTTATTATTATCATGTCTGTATGAACATGTGTGCTTGATCTAATGCGACAACCTGCTTTCATATCCTCCTCTCTAGCTTAAGTGTTAGTCGCTTTAATCGCTCGATGAATCGTTAGCTTTCCAAAATATATATGTGCTTGAATCTTATTAATTGACTCGACTTTTAATTCGCCTATGTATTTGCACGCATTAGCTTTTCTGCTTGGTGTGCTTATGGATTGGTCTGTGCTATATAATAATAAACTAGTTAGCGCTTCGTGTTGCCTTTTGAATTCATCCGCTGTTAGGATTTATCTAGTAATGTTTATCAGAGTGATTGATATACGAAGCCTAAGAAATGATCTCTAAGCTAATCCACTACAATACAAACAGTTTACAGCTTTGTTTGTTCCGTTTGTATCGTGTTTTTTTAATAGTAAGTTTTCCAGTTTCAAAGTAACTGTTTACAAATGTAAGTTTTACGTTGTGTGGCGGTCCGATTGTAATACTTATATATAATCCTCCGCATCCGTGCTCAAAATAGCTTGTTGAGTAATGAAACAAAGTGTGATTTGGAAGTTTTCATGGTCCGACTGAATCGTGAATATATTCGCGACTCATAAACATAGATGTGTCCTTCAGAAACTGAAGCTACATTCCCAACCAATAGTGTACACTCATTTACCAAAGCAATGCCTAGTCATGAACAGTAGCTTGCCCCGATTAGTAGTTTACACTTGCCACTTAACTGATGTCTGATTGGCCTGGTATATCAGTAACCATTATCCTTCTTAATCTCTGTGAAGTGCAGTGACAAGTTGTTTGGCTACACAAATATTATTACCACGACATGATAAATACATGAAATCAGTGTTTCATTTGAGATATCTGTTTACTTTTGTAGGAGGTTGATGACCAGTTATTGTTCTACTAATTACTTATTTAATTAGTGATGCGTTTTTCTTTTTCAAATTTCTGCTGCAATTATCATTATGTCCCTTCTATATTTATATTTATGAATGGGTTTTGCGCTGTATACATAACATTTTTATTCATATTTCACTTTCAAGTTTTTGTAATCATAAAACATCATTAAATTAACATTCCCAGTTATATAGAACTTGTTTAAAAAACTGTATTTTAAAGCTATTTTAATATCACTGGAACTTTTGTATATAATTACATATAAAATGAAGATCGAAATAGTTTCTTCACAACACTTATCCATGAATGAGTTATCTATAAGTAGCAGTAATCTCAAGATCACCCCAGTAGTGGGCAGAACATTTAGCTGTGTATCGTATCAATGTTTTGAATTATAAGCATTTCAGTGAGGTTCTAACTACAACCCAGGACCTATCAGTCTCGCGCGCGAGTGCGGATGAATGGAACAAATAAATTATTAAACTGATAAGAAGCGTAAACAAACATCTCAGAAATTCAATTTCCATTTAACCCAGATTAGAATCTACACAATCTTTTCACTGTTAATCGCAATATGATTGGGTTATAAGTTCTATCACTAAGTCTTGTAACATTCAGTAAATATTTAATAGTATCTACGTTGGTAGGTGTAGACTACCTGGTTGGGATTCGCGAAATGATAGCAACCGATGGTTAGAGACCTTGAATGACATGGCTCAAAATCGTTTGCAATGGCGAAGGTGCATCCACTCTTTGTGTTCTACCAAATTCTAATCTTCTGAATTCTTCATGTCCGTATCCTTTTTCTCTTTCCAAATTTATTTCACTGGATTATACTCCTTGAATAACATCTTCAAACCCTTATCTTTCACATAATACTTATACTCTTACTACTTCTACCAATATGGGATTTGATTCGACAACTTCATCTCTGTGCTAATGTGGTATGGCAACTCGAACTGATGTACGTACGTACGAAGTTCTACGTTGTAACTGACTGACGTTGGAATTCAATTTTAAAAAGTATACAAAAGTGGCACAGCTAGTACGCTTAATAAAAGACGATTTCGAAAGATCTATAAAAACACTAGTTAACTGTTGTAGCGGCTTCTCTGCTGGTACATGCTTACGTGGTTAGGATGTTTAATACAAGCATAATAAATCCATATAGTTGTATACTCATTTTGGAATACGATATACGACTGAACATATGACTTTCAATTGCATTAGTTCAACTCTATTGGTTAACTCGTGCTAATTCTAATGCCCTAGATGTGAATCCTATTATTTATTCATTTAATTGCCTATCTATCTGTTGATCGTACTCTACCATAAAATGACGATGTGTAATTACTGGAGACATACTGACTGAACGACACTCTGGATAGCTATTATTCATATTAATACAATGCATATAAGATCAGTCTAATACGGTTCTGGATTTGTTTTGCCGTAACACAATTACTGAATATACTCTTCCCTGTGTTATTTCTATTATATTACAATGCTGATGATTCCAAGTGCCAGTGTCAATATAAATCAAATTCGACTACAAAAAGTTGTTTATCCAATATTTTTATTATTTCAGTCCAATTGTTTCCACTCGATCCTATTGTACTTAGATTGTTTATTATCACTTTGTATCCCGGATAATCCAAATATTTAAATATACACTCATATCCTAGTTCTTGTTTATCTTATTTGCTTTCGGTCATCAATATAAAGATAAAGAATATAACAGTAGTTTATTCTAATCTTTGGACAGACAAATAGAAGCAATTTCTTGCGTCACTGTGTACGCATATTTTTTCTCTTACCAATTATTCACTGGTAACATTGATTGCGTTTATATGAGTATGTATGTGCGTATTTTTGTTTATCACTCCCTCTGTTCGTTGTATGACTTTAGTTTGCTTTTTCTGTCTGACTATAAATGCTGAGTCAAGTTTGATGAAACAGTGGTGTTTGAATGAACCAATGATTTCCTTGTATTGATGACTGTTTTGATTTTGAATTCCAAATACAGTACATTCGTTCGTGCTCATCTAATACTTCTTGATTAAATTGCGTTATAGCTGGGATTACTAGTGTTATATACTAGGAAAAAAGTAAGTACTGATAACTTACGGGACCTCTTATTAGACTATTATTCTATTGATATTTCTATGGTATAACTATTCAGTAACTGGATTATCTATGCCTATATTCATCTTATTACTAGCTTCATTTTGACCTATTGATTATTTTTGTATGATTTACTGTTCCTAAGTTATACTCAGTTTATTGATTATTGTCTCCCACGCTCCCAGCCACATTTGGCCTGATTTTGTACAAATATTATTTTCTATTTTATTGTATGGTGTGGTCTGCCTGTTTGGTATATAGACAAAGTATGTTTGAAATAAACGATTCGCATTACAGCAGCTGCTATTGGTGTTTTGGACTCGAGTGGACGGGTTAGGCGGATAAGGAGCAATAAGAACGCTAGATTACTCATACTAATCGAACGTCATTATCGCAGTGTGAAAGTCGTAGAAGGCGTATTCTATTGGTGGATAATTTACGCGAAATTACATCCTTGTTAAATTCGTAAGGTCATAACAAGTCAGCGACGACCTTGATCAAGTCATAACAATTGGCTACAGCCTAGGTCAAAAACATAACAACTAGTTTATACTATAATTCAAATACTTTTAAACATGACATAAGCCCAGTTGGTTATTTCTGCTACTTTACACAACATGCATTTCTCTCTATCTCCTAACGTTCACTCACATTTTTAAATGTCTGAAATATATGTTCCTCAAATACTACGATGTTGATAACCTGATTTTTCGACAGAATACATAAGAAGCCAAAAAGAATATATATTTCGCTGACATGTATATTGTTTGTACAATAGAGTCAACGACCTGCTCTGAATGGTTGACAGAACCAATGTTGCATAATGGGAAATAAATTAATGATTAGAAAAATATATACACTGAAATAACATTCATAAAAATTATAAGATTACGCAATAAGCAGCTGAATTCGTAGATACACGTAGAAGTGGCATAACTAGATAACTCATCTTTTAGTTGAGGAACCACCATAGACGGAGGTCGGTTACATTAAATGTTCTTTAAACT